TATTAGTAGATCCTCCTATCTATTAAAATCTATTGACTTATCTCCATTTTTCACTGCCATGACCCTAAAGTACTACTGTTTTGGAGGGGTTTTTTGGCTTGCAAAACTGAGATGGTCTCCTAATTTTTGTTCTCAAATTCTCTCTTGCCTTTTTCTAAATTTGTTTACCTCACTATAACCAGAGTGACTTATTAAAATGGGAAATGTATTCAGCAGTGTTTCCTTGACTGTAGGATAAATACCTAAATCTCAATGTGGGATGGAATGGATTACTAGTTACCCACATTCAGTCTCCTTGGTTATGGTGCTCCTCTCTGTTGAGGTATTATACAGCCCTGGCCCTTGTTTGCTCTCAGGTATGGCAAAGGTTTGATAGATGAAATGAAAGAAATTTGAAACACACTTTTAGAATCTGTGTATGATTTACCACTTTTCTTTCCATTATGACAATGGCAATGTTCCACAAAGAGGTTGCTCTGTTAGCCTGAGCCAAGACTGAAGATGACATGTAACAGAATGATAGCAGGCATGGGCACCTGAGATAAACTTTATTGTAGACTGCTGAGAATCTTTTGAAATTTTTTCTTACTTAGCATAACTTAACCTATCCTGACTAACACACGTGGTCTAAGAGTTCTTATTAGCAAATCTCTTTAGCCTTTCTGTAATTACAAAATTGTTCTGTCCCACTTACCTATGCTATTCTCTCTCCTTGGAAGGTTACTTTTTCCTACCAGTGTGAAGCAGGTTAAATGTGAACCAGTAAGGAAAAGATGGCCTGATCTGTGTTCAAAGTAATGTGTTCTTTTTCATTATATCCATTTCCCTAAACAAGTTCTAGGAAGACAGGGACCAGGTATGCCTTGGTAACCGTTACCTTCCCAGTACTAGGAAGGAATTCTCTTATCTCTCCAAACAGCAACTTTTTCTGCATCTTCATCACACACCAGATAATACCCATACTAACCATACCATACCTACCCACTTGAGGGCCACTTATCAATCAGCATCCCAATGTTCTGTTTCCAAATTCTTGTAAAGAGATTCTGACTGTCTAAACTTACATGTGGTCTATAGTGGTATAATCAGAATTTAATGGAAGAACTAAATTAAGCAGAGGTCTATTCTGCAGATGTGAAATTCTCAGTGAAGGGTACGACTGAACTGACATCCCTTAAAGCTGTCTGCTACAGGCACTACAGCTGACTCAGCCCTTGTGTTTTTGACTTACACAATCTTCTGAAAATGATAGCATGTACAAAGGTAAAATTTTGAAAAGCTTTTTTGGGGGGCAGTACTGGGGATTGAATGCATGTTAGACAAGTGTTCTACTTCTGAGCCACATCCCCAGCACAACTCCAACCTTTGAATTTTTTGAGATAGTCTTGTTAAAATGTCTAGACTAGTCTTTAATTTATAATACTCCCACCTTAACTTCCTGAGTAGCTCGGATTAAAAATTTGTGCCCCCCCCCAATACCCAGCTAAGGGGGATGTCTTAAGGATAAAAAGGGGACATTTCCCTCTGTTCTCTTGGAAGTATGTGTATGCATGTGGTCACTTTTTCTTTTAACACTAAGATTGAAACAACAAAACAGCAAAACACAAAAACTCTTCCTTTGATTCTCCATAATAGTGTAGGGAGAAGCTTGAATTTTGAAACACTCCTAAATATCCAGGAAAAACAAAAGGGAAATACACAATGGAAGGCAATAAAAACTGTGGCTCACAAAGTAAAGGTTCTTGACTCTTTCCCTAAATATATAGTCATCTCATATGAACACCTGAGTATCTACTTCTATAGCACCAAAATTTTTTTAAAAATCAAATTGCCTCTCCTATAATTTTCCATAACATTTGTTCTATAGTAAAAAGGAAAATAAACTGGGCTCAATGACCTATAGCTGTAATCCCAGCTATTAGGGAGGCAAAAGCAGTAGGATCACAAGTTTGAGGCCAGCCCGGGCAATTTGGTGACTGCCTCAAAAAGTTTAAAAAGTGGGTAGGACTCGGTAGATAGCTTAGTGGTAGAGTGTTAGCCTGGTGTGTGAGGCCCTGAGTTCAATCCTCAGCACTGAAAAAAAAAAAGGTGAAGTTTCTAGCTAATTAGTAATTGTTATTTCTGTTCAGCTATTTCTATTCTTCAAAGCACTTTAAAATATCTATGAAAAAATTTTAAAAGTAACTGCATAATACAAACATTTTCAAGCTTTTTAACTTCTTAAATGGAAACTTTAAAAAAAACCTCTCCTCTTTTTATTATTAATATAAATTAGAATACAATTTGTAAATAGGGACTGAATACAATTAATCTGAATCAACATGATATGCATTTCCATGAAAGCTGTTTTGAGTGTGCTTCCTCTGATAAGTATGATCCATGCCCTGTTATCTTTTTTTCCCCAGAACAGAAGCAAATGGCTTGGGAATATCTTTTAGCTTAATTGGCTGTTTAAATTATCCCATTTTCCAGATGATCAAGCAGTTTTTATGTTGTGTTGGCCTCCATTTCTGTTGTAGTACTTTCCCCCAGCAAAGCCAATCTCAGAAATAATTCCTATAACTTTTAAAATTGTATATATCGGTTGCTTACACTTGTATGTGATGTTAAATTAAAATGTTATTAGTACTTGTTTGCAGTATATGATTACATTCACCATGGGAAGTTGGCTCGTGTACCTAACACATCTTGATTGTTTTTACATCCCATACCCTCCCTTCCCTGGCCCCTCCCTCCACCTCTTGGTGCCCTTCCCATTTGCAAAAGAACTCCCCTAAAGGACAAAAGAAAACATAATAGCAAACAGGAAGTTACAGCTGTGAAATTAAAAATTATCTATATTTAACACTAGAAATGTGTTGTTTTTCTATGGCAAAAGCTTGAGGGAGTATAGTACTTTTTCAGTTTAAATGAGGATCCTTGCAGTACTGGAAATGAATCCAGGGCCCTGACTATTCTAAGAAAGCACTCTAACACTAAGCTACATTCTCAACCCAAGACTTGTTTGAAAGGTTGGTGTAAACAAGCACAGAGAATTAGGTTCTTGCCTCCATATCTGCCACTAATAATGTGGTCTTGTTCCTAATTAGCTAAATGGTGGCTTATTTTTTCTATCCATAGTAAGAGTTAAGTTAGATATTATAAGCCTCTTCTAGTTTTAAAGTTGCATAGTGCTGGAATGTGAACATTTTCTCTAACATCTAAACTTGTTTTTATAAAGAATGTTCACAGGCTGTATTTCTAAATCCTTACATAAATAATATTTAATTCCACCATTATTGATCACCTATTATGTGCACAACAGCAAACTCAAATCTATCCTGAAGTAAGGCAAGGCAAAGATAAGAAAAATATTCAGCATGAATTTAATACCCTAGAATAGTACACTCAGTTAAAATGGTACATTTTATATTTCACTACAATAAAAAATTATACACAGACATGTGCAAACACATATATGCAGTGGATACTTTGCCCTACCATTTAAAATTGTACTATAGTTGTTTTGGACAAAAGTTTATTTCTCCACAGGTCTTCCCACTTATTGTAGATTCCTTTTTAATCCTACGTATAACTCCAGGGCCCATTTCTGCCTGACTCTTAGTCATCCGGGAAGGTAATTATATACACTAGCTTTTCCAAATGTTGGTTTGCCTATTTTATAATTTTCAACCAAGGCAACAGTTAAGATTTTTGCAGTACATACTAAAAAATGTATCAATACACCATAAGTCAGAGTTCAGAAAATGTGATTCTAGAACTCTAGCTCTTCAGTGTTTGAATTCACATAGGAGACTCGTGACAAAAACATAAACATAATTCCTAGCATCAGTCCAACAAGATCTTAAGAGTATAAGACTTTTATTTTATTATTTATTTATTTTGGGCACTGGGGATTGAACTGGGGTCCTTGCGCTTGCGCAGCAGGCGGCAAAACCACTGAGCTAAATCCCTGGCCCAGAGTATAAAACTTTTAAAGATGTCAACTAAAGCCCTCTAAGTACCTACCTACCTAAACAACCCCTACCATTTTATCCAGCTAGCTTTTAACAAAACCATTGTACTTCAGCCTCAAGTAATGAGAAATAAGGCGTCTGCCTATATCCATTCTCTAAGCAGATAAAAGCAACGTGTTGGAAACTTTGTTACTCCGAAATAGTGTAGTGTCCTATCTTAAAAAATTAAATTTACACCACCTGACTGTATGCTCCTAAGTAGAAGAGTTGGTTGTAACGTTTACCCACACTAAGGAAAGTTGGCTTTTTCCCATTCCCGAGGCTGATGTGGCCCCATCTCCTTCAAATAAACTCGGTTAAAACAATTTAAGCCAGCCTAATTAAATTCTGAGCTCAGTAGAGTTCTCCAACCCAAACCACACCAATTGAGCGCTCGAAGAAAAAGCACCTTAAAGGTTTCTCACTGAAGTTACCAGGGCTCCAGCTGTTTACATTTCTTGAAAAGCACAGATCACTAGCGTGTTCAGCTGTCCACCTTCCTGATCTAGAAGGCAAACGCTGTGTGGGGGTGAGCAAAAGGCAAGATTATTAGCTTCAGTCGGGTGGGGGGGATATACAATCTGTGAGGTCTGAGCCCCTAAATTCTTGGGGCTGTGGAAGTCAAAAAAGGGCCTATTTAGACTAGTCCAAACTTCGGCATGAAAAGGCGGCCCTGGGAAAAGCGAAAATACAAGAGCAGGCGGGCTTCGGAGACCCAGCATACGCGGCGGGGCCGTTAAACCCTCTCCCGAGACGCGAGCCCAGGCCTTTCGCCTGGTTCTCTACCCGGCCGGGTCCCAGAGCAGAGCCGCCCCGCCCCGCTGCAGTCCTCTGGGTCCCCTCCGCCCCACCTGCCCCGCCCAGCGAAAGGCGCGGCCGCGGACATCACGTGTGCCGGCAGCCGCCAAGTGAGTCCGCTTTTGCGACGCGGTGACAGCCAAATGGTGCGACAGGAGGAGCTGCAGCCGCGGCCGCTGCGCCCCGCACGGAGAGGCTTGAGGCGGCTCCTGGCGTCGCCCAGAGGGAGCGGCTGAGCGAACAGAGTCCAACGCGGGCGGCGGCGGGCGGCGAGGGGAGCCGCTACGAGGGCCCTCGCTCCCCGCCGCTTTCCATGATCCCTGTGGAGTAACCGGCGCCTCCAGCAGGAGCTGCGCCTCCATGAATCCCTAGTTGGGTTTTTTCTTTCTCTCCCCGCTCCTCACCCGCCCCCCCCCTCCGCCGCCGGCGGCCGTGTTCAGGTGCGGAGTCCAGAGCAATGGCGTCCAACCCCGAGCGGGGGGAGATTCTGCTCACGGAGCTGCAGGTAAGGGCCACGGCCCGGGCGGGAGGCGCCGCCGAGGGCGCGGGGGGAGAGCGCGGCGCGCGGTCGAGGGCCGCCGCGCCCCTGGCCCGCTAAGTGCGGAAACTTGGGGATGTCCTCGGGAGCCGCTTTCCGTGAGAGCCGCACTCTCCCTCGCCGGAGACCCGGCCAGCCGCGGCTCGAGTGGGAGCCGACTTACCAGACGGGACCCCAGTCCGCCGGCCATCCCGGCTGCAGTGGGGTCCGCGCGTCCCGGAGCCGCCACCTCGCCGCCCCCTCCAGGTGTCCGCGCCGCCCGCGGACGCCCCCGCCGCCCTCTCCCCGGCCCTCCGGGCCCCGCCCCGCCTTTCCGCGGATCGCCGCTCCTTAAACTCCTTTGAATGATTCCCTGGCTGTTTTTTCGTCCCTCCCCTTCTCAAGACTGCACAAAGAGCGCCCCCATAACTTCCAGCCCCCAAACAAGTTTTTTTTTGTAAGCAGTCGTACTAAGTGCTTCGTTTCACCAGCTCTTTTCAGACTTTCTTTCCTCTAGCTTGCGCGCTGCCTTTTTCTTTTTTCTTTTTTTTTAAACCAAGTGGTACGTGGTCCCTTTCTTGGCTACCCCTGGTCAGAGCTGGAAGTTCAGATACTGATGCTGTTCAGACTTTCATTTTCCGTTCCCTTTTGAGCACCAGAAAAAGAGCTACAGAAGTTGTTTACAGTGAGAAAGAAATCGACTAAGGGAAACATTGGACAGCACTTGTCTGCAGATGAGAACAAAATAGATCCCTAATTAGTCCATATCGCGTAGCAATATTATTCTTTCCTATTTCCAACTAAGTATTTGGTGATGTACGCACGATTTTTGTTTTTAGATCTCTGTGGTGTAAAAGGAGACTTAAGCTGTCCAGTCCGGTTTATTTTTCATTACTTTGCAGTGTTCAGAGATGTTTATACCTGGATTAAAATTTCCTGCTTTTTAAAAAAACTTGGTTTGTTTTACTATACTCATCTTTTGGCTACTCAAAGATTAGAGATGGGAATTAAGAAATAAAATAGCACGTTCGTATTTGTTTTGGGCGGTTGGACAGTTTTTTTAAATCGTAGAATGGTTGGGTCTTGTGTTATTATTCCAACTGAATCTACATTTCTTCTGCATTTTTCTCTAGATCCTCGTATAAATTTGTTCTGTGCAGACGTAAGCTTGAAGGCATTGCCATCTATACTTGATACATCCTCCATAAAAAATAGAGATTTCAACAGTGTGTAAATGCGCTGTTAAAAACTTGGAACCCTTTGGAAATGCAAAGCTGAATTTCCTGTTAAAAATGTTGCTTTGTAGAGTTTTAATAACAATTAACTCTTTTTTTTTGTACAGGGGATCGAACTCGGGTCCTTGTGCTTGGAACCACTGAGCTAAATCCCCGGCCCAACAATTAACTTTTTATAAGCATGTCTGCAGGTCTTACACCATAAAATATTTTCTAAATGGGTGGTATTATTTTAGTAATTTACATGAGCTTTTAAAATGAGGATGTTTGAGACATAATCAGAATACATTGCCTAGTTGAAACATGAAGAGTATGCTTTGATTTTGATTGAAAAAAGCCACTGAAATGACAGGAGCTTTTTTTGTTTTGAATTGAGTGGTATCAGAATTATAAAGTATTTGGCATCCTTTATTTGTATTTTATAGAAAGTTGACATAAAAGACACTTTTTGGTACTGGAACTGGAAACATATTTATTAAAATGTAATATTTTGGAATTTTTTAGTTAATAAAATCAATTTTGGCAATAAGGAAGCAGGTTAAAGAAAAAAACATTTTAAATATGATTTTTAAATGCGATGAAAGTAGAACACCTAAATTTATACTTTGAAATAAACCAGAATGTAACTCTCTAGAGAAAGAATAATTCTTCTTGTTATTTTAATAACATTAAGTTTGTCATAGGGCATTTTTCTTGGTTTATTGAACTTGCCTTATAATAAGTTATTGCATTTAAAGTTTAACTTGTTTATTAATACATTTTAGAATATTGTTTATATCAGCACTTAAGTCATAAAATTTGCTTCACTCGGTATACCCATTTATTTTGAACATTTTGTTGCTTCATTGGGTCATGAAACTAGTATATGATAACTGAATTTTTATCAACTTTTGAGAATAATTTTTTAAGCTTTTGAATTTCTTTATGTTTCTCTGCCAAGCAAGTGGCATGTTATATAGCCCACTTTTAATGTTTGATAGTTAAAACTGTTACTTTGCCATATTTTAGGAATACTTATTTTACTATGAACATTGTGTAGTAAACTTTAATGAAATTAGTTTAGAAACATACATCCAGCTTTCCATTGTGATTTTTTCAAATCATATTGAAGAATTTGAAACACTTTGCTACTTAAGCTGGAATCACCTTGCTTATTAATAACCTTTAGTTATAGAAAGACAAAACTAAAAAACCCTGAAACTACAGCACATTTTCTTCTTACTGTAATGTTTCTAAGGATAATGTTCTAACTCTTGCTAGTAATTTGGAGAGTTATTAAACAAGGCATTAATAGGGCATACACAAACTTTGATGACCAGAGACTTCAAGGTATAGAGTGTTTGCTGTAGTAAAAATAAGATTTTGAAACTGTAAAGAATCTCAAAATGGAATGTTGACTACAACAGTAATTTCATAGGATGTAGAACCAAATAAAGGTTACCTTGCTGATTATTGTTTATTGACCTTCTTTATCAGAATACCTAGTGAAGTGTTGCATTGAGAATCTTAAATTTCATTCTCAGCAGAATTTGTACTGCACAGATAAAGAGAGTTTGTTCACATGGAAAGTTGAGGTAGTTAGCCTTAAATTACAGGTGTTCAATTTCAGTAAAGTTATTGCATATTGGAGGATATAAAGCTGACAAGATAGAAGAGAATGCAGATAACTTGTACTAAAAGAGGATTATATATGACAGGAAAAAGAACATTTATTGTTAGTACATATCAGACATTCTACTTAGTATCCTATGTACCTTACAAGATCTTCACAACAGTCTCGTAAGGGAGGAGTGTTATTTTTATTTTATGGTTTAGGGAGCTAAGTTCATTAATCTTAAGTACATTGCCCATGGTCACATTGTAGGTCAATTTGAACTCTAATCCGTATGCTTCCCACTGTACCATTCTTCAAGCTGCCATAGTACTATAAACCTATAAACTCTACCAAGAATAACAGTAACAATCATCTTTTCCCAGGCTTTCTTCATTTCACAATTAGTTTCTAATGAAAGGTGTCAAATGTTTGTCAAAAATCTCACAAAAGATTTATCATTTCTTTGTAGACTGTTCATAAGATTCACTATGATCATTGACACGTAACACATAGTACCCCGAGCTTCCACATCCATGGATTCAAACACACATAGAAAATAGTCAGGAAAAAAATGTGCTTGTACTGAACATGTACACACTTACCATTATTCTCTAAACAGTACTGCAGGCCAACTGGTTATGTAATATTTACATAGTACTAGAAGATGTGTATAGACGATATGCAATTATATTTGTCACTTGCGATCCATGGGGCTTTAGTTCTAGGACCCCGGTAGACCCAGAATCTTCAGATACTCAAGTCCCTTACACTGTATATAAAATGGCGTGGTAATTTGCATATAACCAGTGCACATCCTCCAGTATATTTAAAATCATCTCTAGATTACTTATAATATCTAATATCATTTAGATGCTAAATAGTTATATTATTTAGGGAATACACTAATGACAAGAAAATGTTCTGTATATATTCAGTGCAGATTCATTTGTTTTTTCAAATGTATTTGATTCTTGGGGAATCCACACATATTGAACCCATGGACACAGAGAGCCAAATATACTGCATCATCATATGTAAGAGACTTGAGCATCTACATATTTTAGTATCCTAGGGGAATCCTGAAACCAATCTGCTACTGATAACCAAGGAACAACTGTTCTTAGTTTTCTTTAATTTACTTTTGTAATCCTTTTTCTTAAAACTACTCCCTTAAAATGCACAAAAGGGATTTTTATAGTAGTTACACCAGTGTACAGCACACTGATATTTTACTCCTTTGGTGGGAAATTAGGAAATGGCATTTAATTTTGCAGTGATACTAGAAAGGTCTCAATTGGAAAGATTTTAGGGTAAAATGATGTACTAAAAGGTAGGCAGATTTTACAATTTCTTCAAGTTGTTAATGCACATTTATTGTAGAAAATCTGAAAATGCAAAAAAGCACAAAAGTTGCTTATTGTTCCCCACTTAGAGGTAACTAACGGGCATCACCAACTTCAAAGCCTTGTGCTATTAGGATCCACTTCCTTTTCCTATTTATACCATTTTACTCATTAGAATTTTGAAAGGCAGAGTTGTTACCTTTCTGTTACTATAACAAATACCTGAGATAATCAGTTTATGAAGAGAAAAAGTTTATTTGGTTCAGTTTTGGAGAATCTAGTCCATCCTCAGGTGGATCTATTTCATTTTAGCCTAGAGCAGAAGGATAGCATATTTTACCGAGATTTTGTATCAGAGCAGAACTGCTCACCTCATGTCTGGGAAGCAAAAGAGAGGAAGAGGAAGGGGCGGGGCTAGGGTCCCATTCTCCCCTTTCCCACATACCCCCAATGACCTGAAGACTTCCCAGTAGGCTCCACTGAAAGTTCTACCACTGCCCCATTGCACCAAGCTGGGCACCAGGTTTAACACTTTGGCCTTTGGGGGACAGTCCAAATCAAAGCTATAGCAAGCTGTAAGATAAGAAATATCTGTACATTAAATTTTTTTTCTTCCCAGTAGATCTACATAAATAGATTAAGAAGCTTAATTGATGTCTTTTTACGTATGTTCATTTTGAAATCAGTGCTTTTAGGTACAGTTAAGGTGAAAAGTGAACAGTACATTTTGGATTTAGTAATACACAATAATGATACATAGCAATAACAACAATAAATCTGTAGTTTTGGTTTGATTATATTTGATTATTGCTACTC